CCCTATACACTTGCACCCCCTACTCCACCAGCCAAACTCCACCCTAAGCCGTCCCGTTGACCTCCCCCCGCTTAAGACCTTCTACCCTGCTGAGCTCCAAACACTTCATCTGGCACCCCCTGCAGAGTCTCATTATCCCTGCACTGAAAACCCTCACAACTAGCCACCATGCACCCCAAATTCCCCACAGACATACCCAGACCCCAACTAAGCCACACTCTCTCAGATTGCCCCACACAAAACCCCTTCAAATCCACACCTGAATACCCATTCACTAAGCACCTCCACCCTTGGATCCTCCCAGGCTCAGACTGCCAGTCCACACCCGATGCAGATGCACAGGCTCCTAGAGGGCTTCTGGCCACTGCACCATGTCAAGAGTCCCATGCAGCCTCACCACCAAGTCAGCATCTCAGGTGCAAGTGATTCCCACCTCTGCATAGCCAATGGCCTGTTCTTCCCACTGCCATGCTGAAGCCTCCATATATATTTATTGGCAAATAAATCTTGAAAAATGTAATCTGTGTAAAATTTTTATTTTCTGAAACAAAATTTCCTCAGGAGTAGCAGTATGACTGAAGAAGTTTAATACACTTTGATATGTTTGATGCAGCAGGCAAAGGAAACAAAAAAAGAAAGTTCACAGGACTGGAAATTTCCGTGCATCCAATGAAAATTCCAATAATTAAAATTTTAAAATGTATGAAAATAGTGTTTATCATTGTCCATTAGAAGATTATCTTAACCTATAAGCACATTTGAACAAACAATCTTCATTTTAGTCATAGTTAACTTAAGACTCAAACTTTTCTTTATAGGCGCTGTCTTACCTGACTTGACAAATTTCCTGTATGCTTATGAACTCTAGAGTTTACAATCAGCCATAAGTAACTCTGTATCTAAACTACAATGGTGCTCCTGCTGATGTTAGTTACCCCCTATGATGACTTACCTCCACCTCAGAGATGTGTGGTACTTAGGCTGATGTAGTTAGAGCAACACAGTGTTCATATTGGCCCCACAACCCAAGCCATAAGTCCTGCTACTGACAGCATTGGCTGTTGGCCCTGCAGAAGGGGGGGGGCTTCAGCTGCCAGTGCCACATGAAGCAGTAATGACTACGGCAGCTGTTTATCAACTTATCTTAGGCCAACTTAATTTTGTAGACAATACCTAATTTATCTGAGGCAGGGACTATAATTTGTTATGACATTGTGGCCTACCATCAGGGGATCTGCAATTTAAAAAAAAACCCACAATCAGCCTTTGAAAATAGGTCCAAATATATCTGTGGCATCCTTGTGGCCTCCTTTTTAGTGTACCAGTTTATAGGAATTTTACTGCTACTGAAAGTGGTGGATTACTGTTGTGTACCACTTATGTTATGTGACCAGTTCATCATGAAGCATTTCCATTATTTTTAGTCACATTTTGTCAAGGGTTTTAAAGGCCCTAGAACTCAAAGAACTCCTTTTCCATGTACTTTTTATGCTGTTAAGCTCTACAAAAAATATTTTAAACAAACACCCTTTGAATCTCCTTTTAATAACAGGAAACCCATCTGTTGGGACAACACAATGAATTGAGTCTGAAAGACCCCCCCCAAAGAAGTTTAAATGCAGTCTTATTTTCAGACAAGTGTTTAACATGTTGCAATTTAAAAAGTCAAATATAAAAAATACAACATGCATTAAGTTCTCTTTAGATTAAAAGTAATTCAATATCACTATTTGTAGAAAAAAGTTTTAAAGCTTTAGTTTTTCCTATTTCAGCTGTTAGCTTGCATCAGATTTTCAATCTCTTACTTACATCTTGGCTCAGAGCCATGAAACTCCTTTGTAGTTCTTTAGCAAATTCCAAGTTATTCGTGACTTCCTGGTACTTAGACACTGCATCCTTGAAAATAAAAAAATTAATTAATTAATTAATTAAACACTGATTACAAATAAGCAAGAGATATGCACTTCCAAGTGATAACTTTCTTCACAACACATTATCTTGCTCTAAAAGTAAGATAAGCATCTTTAAAACAGAAATGGGATTACAAGAAACCCTCATTCATGGGGGATACGTTGTTGAGATCACCATGAATGATGAAATCTGCGAAAATTATGGCAGAAGGTGTATGACACAAAACAACCACATTTTCCATATAAAAAACAGCAGGGTGTGCAGACCGGCTCCGACCTGTCACCCCTTGCTGCTGCTTTTCATACACAAGCAGCAGCACCGGGTGGCAGCAGCCTCTGTCAGTGGCAAGCGCAGGCTCGCCCCAACCTCTGTCTCCATCCCACGGTGAGCATGGACCCACCACAGACAGAGGCTACACCGACATCCCACCTGCCACCCCACATGCTGCTGATACAGAGTCAGAGAGTGGGGGGAGAGGAGGAAGAAGAGAAGTGATTATAGCGGTCTGGAATAACGGATAAATCCAGGTTTATTGATTAATCAGTTACACAATATATACATTAACATCCCTAATCGAAACCCTCAGTTTTGGCCTCATCCCAAAGTCCAGAGGCTTTCCACAAAATAATCTAGCTTAGCCCTTAAAAGAGTTAATTTGGCCCTGGGGAGAAGCCCTGAGCCTTTCTACCCTTCACCCCCTGGAACTGGAGTGCAAAGGGAACTCTGGCGCTTCCACACTGCAAGAGCTAGGTGTCTCGTGCTCTTTCCTTTGCTTCTTGCTTGTATGTGGTCCCCTACTGATTTTTCTGTTGGTCAGTGGCCCCCTACCCAATAAAAGTTGCCCATCCCTATGTTAAGCACTCAGCTTTTTGTATCTGATTTTTAATTCAACACATTTCTTTTTAAAAAATAAACTTGTTTAAAATTAAATGACCAACTACGTTAAGACTTACTTTAACTATGGACCTTTAAAATGTGATACAGATGTGCACTGCATTTTTAAATGGCATACATACGTACATCTACTTGAACACAACTCAAGGTTCAAAGGTTAATTCATTCAAAATTAAGAAACTGGAAAGCTGAAACCACTAAAACTTGTTTTTCTCTTCCAAATTATGAATCAAAACCAAGTGAGAAAAAGTTTTCAATGATTACACGTTTACACGGGGGCGGGCAGGCAGCCCCACAGTAACCAGAACAGGCAGTCCCCGACTTACGCGGATCCGACTTATGTCGGATCCGCACTTACAAACGGGGCTTTCTCGCCCCGGAGGTCGAGGTAGCGGATTGCTACCTGTGAGCTCCGGGGCGAGAAAGCCCCATTCGTAAG